GAATCTGGGGAATAATTTTGAACAATAAATTATTATAACAATTGTGGATAATAATTAGTAATATTATATAAAAATAAAAGTCGTTTTTCATTTATGTGATAATTTTGGATGATAGCCAAAAGAGGTTATTCCAACTTTGCCAAATTGGACGATTCTGATTGTATTCGCAAAAATAGTGCGCATATTTCTTTGATTTGTGAAAGTCATCCTTTACTGATAATGAAGCTATCTCTTAACGTCAGCTGGCTCAACTAATATGAAACAATCCTTATAGATTTGGATATTGTCAGCTGAAAATGGTGTAACTTTAATTAAATTTGAGAATTACTCTCATAGTTTCAATATCAAATTAAAATTTTAGCAAATGCGAGGAGAGAAAAAATTAAAAATATGTATTAATTAATTTAAATAATTTTAATACACCATTCAAGATTTTTTAAAACAAGCTTATCAATTATAAGTTTACATGACGTGGTTCAAGCGATTCATTCTTAATGAAAGTATCCAAGAACACATAGGCCTGGGAAATTAAGATACAATCTTCCTTACAGGAAAGTCGATGTAAGGAAAAGTAGAGCGCTCTTTAATGTCAACACTCATTTTATTATTTATATATTTAAAAATTATTAGCAAAGAAATATTTAAAATTCAAATAGGAAGGTTAGCAAAAAATATTTAAAAACTTTATGAAATTAGATTTGATAATGGATGAAAGATAAGTTCTTAAGAAAGGAGATTAATTGGAAATAATTTATTTCAATTCTCCGGAAAAGAGATTTCAAACTTGTAAAAGGGTGATTAATTTATATCGGAAGCATAACTTGGAAAAAGGCATTCGAGCCAGAAAAGTGCTCATTCAGGAATTTTTTCGACGGTTCTTAAATCGAAGTGGTTTTTGATTTTTCGTTGGCCTTTTCTTCGTTTAAAGCTTCGATTCGCATTAACGGCGAGCAAGGCAATTACTATTTTAAAGGAGCGATCTTATCGCAAAATGGCATTTGTTCGCTCCACTTCCTTAATCGTTATCCTCCCTTAGCACGCTTCTGGGCTTTAATGCAACCCTTGCATATGTATATTTCTGAGGTTATCGATATATTCCTTAACACGAACCAGTATATAAAAAAGAGAACCTCCTCGGTAAATAGATTTCTAGCATAAAACAAGAAACTCTCGATGAGTGACATATTTTATTTTCAAATACAAAAACTTTCTTTTCCATCCATGACCCTAAGATGTTGTTGTTTTTGACAAAGATTCATTTCTAATAATTCCTAAATCGATTTACCCGAAGCGGTATTTTTTAATTTTACCCCAATAACAAAAAAAAAATGATCAGAAAAATTGCTTTCACCATGAAAAACAATTTTTCCGACAAAAATCCCTTGAGAGTTGAAAACGCATTCAATTTAGAAGATAAATAAGTGAAGATTTATGAACATCGTGTACTTACTTTATTTTACTTTCACGAATACTATCTGCTGCAATCTTTTTGTAAACAGCTTTTAAAACAAGAGTAATTTTTAATCTCTTTTAACGTGCATGCAAACGAAATTCTGCTTTGATATCGTCTTTGCTATTTTTTTTAACTTTCGATTATGACTCTTCAAACAGATTATTCGAAATTTGTATTTTTTTCAATATCCTCCTTAAGAAGCGCACTAAACATTAAATTTCATTTATGTTAATAGATTCTTCTTGAAGGAAAAAATTTTTAAATATAAATTTTGAGATGTTGATCCTTAGGGTATTGAGTGTAAAAGTTTGAGGAACAGTAACGTCATGAGTTAAGTACAAGTTTCATCGATTTTGAATTAAGATAGTTGGGGGATTTCGTTAGTCAGTTAGGATAATTTTTTATCGATCTAATTGGGCAACAAATAAAACCAATTTTTATGTGTCCTAAGTTTTACTATCTTTCCGCTTCTTCTTGGTTGGTGACTACAACTGGGAGCATTATTCTTTGGTTGTTTAGGGGTCCTAGAAATGTCACCTTCGAGTCCTGACGCGATACTTCATCCTTATTCAAAACTTGATACAAGGAAACATCACATTGTGCGATGCATTACACAGTTTTCCTCGACCAAACATCATGTGCATCATGGATATGTTCGATAGACCTTGTCGTGGTGGCGGAGCTTTTCACTAAAGGACAACCAAAACAGAAAGTCAGTACCCAAGGATGCAGGAGGGCAACAATTATTAAAGTTTTTATTTGAATCCTTTACAATTAGAATCAGAGAGTACCCAAGGTTGCAGGAGGGCAACAATGATTAAAGTTTTTATTTGAATCCTTTACAATTAGAATCAGAGAGAAAGAGTAGATCCAGATGTCTTCAGGGACACTGAAACAAAATTAGAACTTTGTGGAATCAATCGAGAATTTTAATGGGAACAACAAGGGATACCTCCTTCAGTGTTAGGTTGAAGAAATGACGTTGTCTAGCGGAAACAGAGAATGCAGTAGATTTACCTCGAATTGTTTTCTGGCCACCCAAAGTAAAAGGTTCGGAGTCCAGGTGTTGAAGTAAATTAGATAAAACACTCCTCAGCCTAAGAGTGACCGAATTATTGATTTGACGTTAAAGTCGAAGTAATGCAGTCCTTAGAAAAATAGAAATGTGCCTCGCAGTAGAAATTACCTCCTTAAATGAACTTGACTAAGACGAGACTTGAAGAATGCATTTGGTACTTGAAAAGATTTTTGGAACTGGAGTCAAAGAATAAACTCGGTGACAATACACAACTAGTTAACTTGGTCGCGGTTGCTAGACTGACACGAAAAAGACGCGAAGTTGATTTGGTGGTGACTTCTGGACTAACTAACTTGGAAGGGGTTTCCTGGACTGATACGAAGAAGACACTTGGGGGTAGTAGGTGGGAGAAGCGATTCTTTATATTTTGACGACTATAGTCGATTAGATTAGAAAGGGCACATAGAGGGATACCCATACCAAAATGTGAAAAGTGGTAGGAACCGCGAAAAGAATTTTCATAATCAGGTTATAATTATTTTAAAAACTGAAAATGTTAAGCAACAACCTAAAATACCGACATAAAATCCACTATGAAGGCAAATTTTTCCTTTAAGAAATCTTAATTATATAACATTAAAATTAAAACATGATTTGAATTAAGTTACTCAGAAAGTCAGAAAAACTAATTTACTTCGAACAATCTCAGCAGGATGAAACTTATTAATTTTAACAATGAGAGCAATTTTTCATTAGAATACTCTGAAAGTAACTTCGCTCTAGTTTTCCACTCTCTTAAAATATCTCAGTTATGATGCAATGCATATTTCTTTTTTAACAGATTAGATATTTTATTCTTTCCATTTTATTTGTAATAATTCAACTCCAGAGGTAAAAAAGTCGCATTAATATAAAAAGTTTCCAACATTATTATAAAAGGATTTTGTATTAAAGTAGATTTAATTTAAATTGGAGAAATTATTATAATATTATTGTCATTAAAAAATAGAGTAATTTTTATCATTAGTCCAATAACGATGGATATAATTAATACTATAATATTTTTTTTTTTACTAAGTTACATATTTTTATAGATTTTCCAGTGAATTCATTTCATGCGTATAATCTGACACTCATGTTGTTACTGAAGAGGTTTGAAATCCGTAATTGCTTTTTAAAGTAGCTTACTATTCTTTGTTAACTCGGAAGCAAGCCAAAGTGATTAAATGTAATTGCAGAGTTTGCAAATTAAGTAGAATAAAAGTTTTTCTTTTCGTGACACGATTTCGCCTTTGCAAAATTTGTACAATTGCAGAAATTTTTAGACGAAAAATTATGCAAGATCGGGTAGAGGAATTATTTTTTGTTGGTTATTATCTTTATTACCTCCTGGTACAGATTTTAAACTTTGGCAATTATAATAAAAAAAATGTTAGACTTTTGGGGAGTTTCTATTTTTTTAAAAAAAAAGGCTAATTCAACAAGGTGAAACTGACAATACGAATTTACTTTTAGTAAAAGTTAAAGTAAACTTGATTTTACAATGTGGTGAATATTATCATAATAAAACTTTGCTGAAAGGTTTTTGTAAAAATATATTTCTCTCGTTGTAGTGTTACACGTAAACTTAAAGCTTTAAGTGAAATCTGTAATTTACGTAGCGAAACGGAAACCACGAGTCACTTCATGAGAAAAAAGAAAAAGAACGTTCGGACGAAAAGTTCGGAAAAGCTTTTCAGCTTCAGGTTTAGAAATGAATTTAGCAACCCAAATGAGGACCCCTTGCCTTGGAAAAAAATCCACAAAGAAAATAGGGATGAGAATGAAGGAAATGAATTGAAAAACAAGGAAGAAACTTATTTAAAGAGTTTGTTCTTTATTTTCAAAATATTACCATAAGATTACCTTTTTACAAAAAGTTTCATTCTCTTAGAATTATACAATTACAAATTTAGTATTTAAACATTCGTACGTTAATTGAAATATTTAATAATTATTTATAACAGGAGAAAAAGAAAGAAAAAATGAAATTTAATTAGGGTATATTGATTACATTTTAAACTTTTCTTCTATGTTGAGTAATTAGAGGTAAAGAAATATCAAACTTTAAATTAAAAACAAACGTAAAACTCAATTGTGTAATTGGTGTAGATTTGCTTATCAAACCATTGCGGACTAAACTTTAAGTTTTCTCATCAAATTAATTGAAGATTAAAACAGAGTTCTCGCCAAGTCTTGGCTCACGTAAGCATGCACTAAAGGAACCTTGTATGCAGCATGCAACTCTATGGATATAGATACAATTTTAGAGAGTCTTCATCGGGCCACCACTCAAACATATGATATTAATTATACTTTCAAAAAATATTTTAGATTTGATTCTAATTATTCTTGAGGGGAAATAATTTATTGATTTTTATATTTTGATAAATATGGGAGAAGAGTGATGAAAGGGAGCCTACTGATTAAATTAACTAAGACCCTTGAGTCTAAAAAAGAATATTGAAGAATGTTTCTGATTTTTTACAGATAATCAGCTACGATTCGACGAGGGGTGGCGTTTCCGTAGTGACGGAGAAAGGTGACAGCACCACGAGCTTCCTATTGGTGCAAAGAGCCAAACCGTCAGACTCAGGTCGATATACATGTAATCCAAGTAATGCTCAACCGAAGTCGATCACCGTTCACGTACTCAATGGTGAGGAACTTCTTTTTTAATAAGACTTTATTTTCTAGTTAAAGAATAAATGTACACACTCCTAGAGTCTAGACTTCGTTTAAAAGGCCACGTCTAGGGTCGTCTAGGTTTTGCGTGGGGTTTTTCAGTTAGTCTACTATTTGCCACTAGGACCCCTAACGGATCTAGGAAGATTAACTTAGGTGGCAGATGAAATGGAGAAGCAGTTAGTTGCAGTCGTTCTGATCCCGAAAAACGATTATTGAGGACAAGCCTCGTGCACTACCAGCGGAAACCTCGCGGAGGTTCTGCTTCCAGACCGTAGTCTAACTATACAGTGAGGATCTCAGATTCGGAGATCAGTAGAAGATCTCCGAATTCCCATTAGTCGCCTCTTACGACACGCAGTAGATTACTGGTGGTCTATTCTGCTCCCGGGACCACCACGGGATGCTAGACTCGAGTCCCAAGATCAGAGATCATAAAAATAAAATGAAAGAGTAAAAAATAGTAGAATTTATAATCCGCGAGTTGGATTACCTTACCCAAGATGAAGTCGTTCAGCAAACATTAGAAGAAGTGTTTGGAAAGTCAGGACACTAGATCCAACAGAATGTTATTGATGATTGGATCATCGTTAACTCTGGGTCAGTATCGAAGTCCCCTGAGTCCCTGGAATAATCCAGGTGCAGATAACATCTAGTTACCATAACTCTCTTTCTAATTTGGCATAACATAAGACCTTAGAATAACAACTCTCCCAGCCTATCTGTCTCTTCTAGGTCGGTGACTACAACTGCGAACTTTATTCCTCCTTCCAGGACTGTCTGCTTTCTGTTTTACAAGCACATCTTCCAACACCTGTTGAACTTTATTATTGTTTTATCAAATGGTAAAGAACCATGAAGAGATTTTATTCTAATTAATATTTTATGGAAGTTAAAACTTTCTGCATAGTCCTTAACAAAGTTTCTACATCCAAAAATACTTTTACTGTCACTAGCACTTAAACTATAAAAAAAAGTTTATTTTCTGCTAAGGGGCTTAGTTAACTCGAAATCTGCTTTTGTCTTCTGCTAAATGGCGACTAGGACCCCTTAAAATTATAAGCCTATCAGTTAGGCAGCAAAAGAAATTATAATCTGTCGCCACCACCGGTTTGATTAATAAATTATGTAAACTCAGAATTGGGGGAAACAACTGCGGTAGCGAAAAATTATAAAGGCGATCTTTCTTTTAATTTATTTAAGCGCCTGGCTGCTCCTCTAAAATATTAAGAAAAGACAAGCGATATTTAGGAATTGATTAGAATGTTTAGAATTGAGAATTTTAATTAAATATGTTTCCAACTAAAGGGTTCGCTCCTCCGAAGCGAAGCATCTTGCGTTGAGCAGGATATTTCTGGACCGGATCATTTAAAATGAAAAAAAGAAAAAATATTCCTTAATATAATAGATTATCCTGTAATTAATCCAAAGGAATAAACAAAATAATAATTTTAGCTTGTAACCCCTTAAAAACAAAACGTTCCCTTCTGCGGAAAACTTAAGTGTCATCCCTTGTTTCAGGAGAGTATCCTGCGGCAATGCAACACGGTGGTCAAGCAAAACAACCGAGGCTCTACTCACTCCTCCTCTGTCTATGTCTACTTCTTTACTAATCGAACCTCGATCATATCAATCTATCGAGTTATCACGAGTCATCCTCAAAAAAAAAGAAAACGAGAAGAGAGCCTTCTGTACGCCACGTTTTTTATACTTCAACTTTTCACCTCAAACAATCATCTCTTTAGTTATCATTTACTTTTCGCATTTTTTTTATTTCTTCAACAAAAAGGAAGAAACATACGGGAAAGAAAATATAAAAGTGAAGAAAAAGGTAAAATATATATATATATCAATGTGAAGGAAGAAGCCCTTTAGCGACGATTTATTTCTTGCATTGAAACACAATTGTAAGCTCGAATCTTATAAACTGCCGTTAAGTCACTGTCATGAGCAGCCGTGAGCTATAGGAATGGACTCTTGTCATATTCGATTCACAATGGCTATTGTCAGTGTTACCATGGTCATGAGAAATTCCCCGGGAAATTCCAAATTCCAAACCAATGATTTACACTTAGATGCCAACGCCTTTGTCATTCGGCAATGTCAGTGTGAATCGAGTTGAGAGTTCCCCTTTGATGTGATCATCTGTATATTCAAGTAATCCAACGTAAAGACACATTCTCTTTTAAAAAATTCTTCCTCTAAATAAATTGAATCTAAATTAAACAAGTTTTATCTCAAAAATTTACAATATAATTTACCGTCACTACATTTTCAAAATTTAATGTCTCCTAATTCCTCACCAAAGAATTTTTTTTTAAATCCCCGTACGTTTAATTTTCATTATAACTTTAAACTAGTCTCATTTCACGTTCATTATCCACTAGAAATTTGAATTTCCAATTTTAGTTTCAATTTAGAGTGAAATTTAAATTGCCAAAATTTACAGCGGTAAATATTGTACAGTTATAGTATAGAATGTACGGTATTTAATAATTTTCGAAAAGTTAAACTGAATTTCCCACTTTTTAAATAAATAACTAAAATGTTATGCTTTAAATGTTGAAGAAATTTTTTTCTCCAGATGGAAATAATTTTTGATGATATTCGGAAATAATGTGATTAAAAAGGGAGAAAAATATGATGAAAATTGTTATGTCTGGGGAAAATTGCATGTTACCTTATTTCTCAGATTTCAATACGCGTTCATTGATGGTTTAATAAAAAACCAGTTGAAATAGCTCGAGTGAACGATTTTAGAATATAGGAAATCTCATGCAGACAAAATATACCCGCGGACAATTTGTAATATAAAATGCACATCGTTTCGATTTCAAATGCAGATATTGCTTCCGGTAAATTCCCCTCGCCCTAACTATTAACGTCCATTGCTATTTTGTAAAAAAAAGGAGAGGAATCGAATCGCTTATTATCCTCAATCTTCTATTCTAATTTTATTTACTATTTTTTGCAAATTATTCAAAAATACAAATTTTTCCTGATGTTATTAGTCTTATATTGAAATAAAAGAATACAAATTTACAATAAAAAATATTATAAAAAAAATTACAGACATTTTTGTAAAGTGCTTTTTCTTGGAAGAGCTTCGCGACACGCAATACATAGGGTGCAAAATTGAATCTGGAACAAAATAGAAATTTTTTATTATGTTCGTCCTTCATAGATGGAATGAGACTGGCGTCTTGCTTCGTTGGTGTCCCCTATTTAATGGTAGAGGACGCGTGGTGGGAGAAGCGGTTCCCCCACCACGCGCGGGGACTGACCAATGCGGAGCGCGGAGAGGTAGGGAAGGGGAAGCTCACGCCTGGTGGGGGGTCGCTTCTCACTCGATATTTAAAGCGAGGAATCTTTTTTCATTAAAAAAAGAGGCGGAGAGAAAAAAGATCATGTATAGAAACAAAAAAAAAATAATTACCTCTCTAGAAGGATTATCAACGAATTATAAACTTTTATATAAGCAGATTTCTTATACGGTTCATATCGGAAAATATTTTCTCCTCTTTTTTTTATCAACTCGATGAAGAAAAACAATAATTACTGTAAAATCAATTGTAGAATAAATTTTTTTTCCTCTTAATCCGTTAAGCATTATATTTTCAAACAAAAATTGTCCATTGTGACAAACTTAAGGATTTTTTTTCTCTTTTTTTTAACTTGGGGGAAAAATTGGAATTATAAAATAGCATGAAATTCAATTGACAGGGGAAATTAAGTGAATAAAATAGATCTGAGGATCTTTATATTATTTCACGTTCTCATAACAATAGTATTCATAAAGTAGTCATTTTGTGTGAAATAAAGCATATTCTAGAAATCAATTTCATCATGAAGAAGTATCTTTAGTTTAACAAACTCAATGTTCTCTTTTCGAGTGAAACGAACGACATTTCCTGGCACAACATATCATATATAGATACGTGTACTGAAATGTCATTTCTGCAAAATCAAGTTCTTTTTCTACTTAACGATTTTGTCGAGTGTATCAATTTACCAGATGGCGGAGATAATATCACAAAAAACTTTTTTCTTCAGTAAATATTAATTTTTTTTTTTAATATTAAATAAATGAAGACTTGCATCCTATGTTTTTTCTCAATATTCTATTTTCTTTAACATTAGAATATAAAATATACTTTCGAAATTTTCAAAAGTAAAAAGTTTTCTTTCTTTTTATTTAAAAAAAAGGTTTTTGGAAAAAAAATTCAAAAACAGATGATCACATCAAATATATTAAATAAAAAAAAATCATGATGAAAATACAAAGAAAGCACAACTATTAAATCAGTAGTTTGCGTCCGAAAAATAAAGCTCATGTATTTCAAATTATTAAACATTTCTCATAATTAAAAGTAAAGGATGAGAAAAAAAACATAAAGTGTAAAAAAATTAAGAATTACTAAATACTCGACTGAAAAGGCATATTAGTAACTAAATTTACAGTTGCAAGTAAAAAAAAAAAGTTTTTACCATATCTTTTTTCTAAAATAATCTATTAATAATCTTTTTTATCGAAAAAAGTGGAAAAAAATCGGATAAAAAATAAGAAAAAAAATTAATGTGACAAAAAAGTTCTCTTTTACTTCTTTTAAGACAAAATGTAATGAATATTTTTTTAATATTATATGAATAATTACACACACATGCATTATTTCAATATGCAAATTATAAGTTTTTCAATAAAATCGCATCAATAAATTTATTCTCATTTTCCTATGAATGTGAAAAGAGCGAATATTGTGTGCGGAATAAACATATAAAATATATAAATATATATATTGGGCTTAGAGGGAATTAAACAGAATACGAATATTTCTCAATTTCACCTAAAAATTAAAAAGATGGAAAATAATAATAAATTTTGCCAAATAATTCTATCGGCTTCGTTTGGTGCTGTTTTTTTTAATTGTAAACCTGAAAATCAAAATAAAACTTGGAGAATAAATTTTCAATGCAATTGAAATTATGAGAATATTTATCGGAATTTTATTTTTAATTGAATTTACGATAAATATGTGATTGTACGCACTTTGAGGAAAGGTGAATGAGGAGCGAATTGTTTTTAGGTTATTTTTTTAGAATTTTTATTTTTATTGAATTTTTCTTATTGATTGAGTACAACTAAAACCAATCACTTCACTTTCACTTTAATTGTGTTTCACTGTCACGTGTCTTTTATTTCAGTTTACTTTCAGGTCCCTTTCAATACACTTTCACTTCACCGTCACGTCACTATGAATTTACTTTCACTTCACATTCACATCACTTTGAATCCACTTTCACTTCACTTTCAAGTCCCTTTAAATCCACTTTCACTTCACTTTTACGTCACCTTAAATTCACTTTCACTTTGAACCCACCTTCACTTCACTTATATTTTACTCTAACGTTACTTTCAATCTACTTTCACTTTACTCTAACGCCACTTTGTATCAACTTTCACTTCACTCTCACGTCACTTTGTATTCACTTTCACTTCACTTTCTCGTCACTTTGATTTTACATTCACTTCACTTAAAAGTCAATTTGATTTCACTTCACTTTCATTTCACTTTCACTTTACTTCCACTTTACTTTCATTTTACATTCACTTTACTTCTTTTTTAGTTTCACTTTACTTTCATTTTACTTTTACCAAACTTTTACTTTACTCCCATTTCACTTTAAGTTCACTTTTACTTTACTTTCACTTCAATTTAACTTCACTTTCATTTTACTTTCACTTTACTTTCACTTCAATTTAACTTCACTTTCATTTTACTTTCACTTTACTTTCACTTCAATTTAACTTCATTTTCATTTTACTTTCACTTTACTTTCACTTATATTTAACTTTATTTTCACTTCACTTGATGAGTGATATCTAAGTGTAGTGAAAGTAAGGTTAAACTAAAGTGAAAGTGAAGTGAAAATTGTGATAAAAGTGGAGTGAATGTGAAGTAAAAATCAAGTGAAAGTAAAATGAAGTGAATGTGAATTATAGTAAAGTGTAAGTAGGATGAAAGTGAAGTTCAAGTGGAGTAAAAGGAAAGTTAAAGTGAAATAAAAATGAAGTAAGAGTGATGTAAAATGGAAGTATAAGTGAAGTGAATGTTGGATAAAAATGGAGTGAAAGTGTTGTAACAGTAAAGTGAAAGTGAACTGGAAGTAAAGTGAAAATGAAGTGAAAGTAAAATAAATATCAAGTTAAAATGAAGCGAAAGGGAAATGAAAGTGAAGTGAAAATGAAGTGAAAGTAAAGTGAAATGAAAGTGAAGTGAAGTGAAAATAATGTAAAAATGAAGTGAAAGTAAAGTGGAAGTGAATATTGAATAAAAATGTAATGAAAGTGTTGTTAGAGTGAAGTGAAAGTGTACTGAAAGTAAAGTGAAAATGAAGTGAATATGAAGTGAAAGTGGAATGAAAGTAAAATGAAAGTGAATTGAAAATAAAATAAAAATGAAGTGAAAGTGAATGAAAGCGAAGTAAAAATGAAGTGAAAGTGAAGTGCAAATGGAATTTATGTTTGCTTCTTAGGTACCTTTCTTCGGAGAAAGTCACAAATAAAAAATTAAAATTAAAAAACAATTAAAAAATTTTCTTAAATATTTCTTTATTAAAAAATTAAACAACTTTTCAACTTTCGAAGTTATAAAATTGTTGAAAAACGGACTAGAGAATTAAAAAAACAATATAAACGCACAACAATTGCTAAAAGCAAAAAATTCTTCTCCTTGTTTTGAGATTTGACAATTTTGTTTTCTGTTAATAATTATTATTCTCGAGGGACTTTGAAAACAAGAAGAGTTGAGTATAAGAAATTTTAAATTGGTGAGTGTAAATATGTATTTAAAAAAAAAGTGTTTAGTTATTTAGTTCATCTATGGACAATATTTAATGAGATGATATATGAAACATGAACAATTGCCAGGATAAAAAAGAAAATGTGAAGAAAATGAGAGAAAGAGAGCGAGAGAGAAAGAGTATAAAAAAAGAAAAAAAAATATAATTGAATTAACATCACTGTTATACTGTGGTTCTTTTTATATGATATATTCTATATTTTGACCAATAATAACTGATGAGGGTGCATGCGGATTCATTCGACGAATCAATTCTAAATATGGAATTAGTGATGGAAAAAAATACTTTGTATAATTAAATGGTAATCGCGCGCAATGCATCAGCGTTATGTATAAAGAAACCAAAAAAAAAATATGAAAAAAAACAACGGTAGCCAAAAACGAGATGATGTATGATTAATGTACCACTAATCGATATTCATATACATACGATGATAAAAACGTGTAATTGTAATAATACGATTTACTCTCATTGTTACATAAAATATAGTCAATGTGAAACCTCCGCGATCATTGCATTTTAAAAGCATCTCAATAAATTGAATGTTTGCGTGGCTTCGGTGTAAATGAAAGAGAAAACAAAAAAAAATTAAGAATTAATTTTTTTTTGACAGGTTATAAAATATATATATGTTTAAGTGTGAATAGCATTTTTTAAAAATAAAAAATAAAGAAAAATAAATAAAAGTTTCTTTAGGAGCCTAGAAATGTACAAAAATATATCTGAAACATTTTTCTATTTCTCTTTTTAAACTGAGTAACTCGAATACAATTTTCATTCTATTCTGTATTTTAACAAAAGAACCTGCTACTGCAAACAAAAGTCACATTCGTGGAAAAATAGAGGAATTTTCCATGAAATAAGTTTGGTTGTAGTTTTATATAAAAAAAAAGAATCAATATACTGAGAAACAAAAGAATGATTACTGTTTCGTAATTGAAATCCTTCAATGAATAATTTTTTTCCTCTATTTCAAATTTTCAGTCACTTTGATAATTCATTTATATTGAACAATAGAAAGAAATAAACAAAATTTCGGTCTTTATTTCCCTGGGGGCACACCTAGGAGGTTGAGAACCTTCGGCGAGTGGTGAGGGGAGCGCCAATCACCGCGCTCCCCCCCACCACTCTACATTCTGCGCGCGCAGTGTTCTCAACTCGAAATTCCGCAAAAATCTGAATTTTTTTAAGAATAAAGAGGAGAAAAAAATGTATAATTGTGATTGTGAATGAAACTGAATTGCAATGCTTCAATTGTTCCTTTATCCCATTGCACGTGTGAGAGAAGAGACAATTTTTTTTCTATAAACTTATAAAAAATTCTATATTGAATATAAAAAAATCGTCTACATTATTGCAATGGCGTTAAAAAAAAATGTTGCCGTTTTTATTGAAAGTCAACGAGGCAAGCCTGACGAAATTACAAAAAAAATAAATTATGAATATAAAAAAAATAAAATTTTTCCTGTAAATAAATTATTAAAAAAAGAAAAAAGAAACAAAAGTGAGAATGACAAAAAAAAGCGATCCACTCTAATTGACGACTGGCTAGTGTAGTATCGTATAATGTGAATATGTATGTAAATAACGAGACACTAGAGGGAGACTATTCTCCGAGGATATTATATATATATATGTATGTGAATGTCTGGCAACAAATAATATTTTTGTTGCAAGAATGAAACACGCACTGTAATGAAAAATTACACTAATTTAAAAAAAATATTAATCTCCAATCTACAATTCCGAAACAAAAAAAACGAGCTTCTAAATCATTGCTTTCTTCCATTTTTTTACTCCCAATTTCCTCATAAAATCAGGGAAAATTATTTTCGGTTCACTTTTTTTTTCTTTCGCTGAAAAATAAAGCTAGTACACAAAATTCAATTCTATTTTCAATAAAGGAATTAAATGGAATTTTTCAATTATAGAAAAAAATTGAATTTTCAATTATAAAAGAAAATTGAATTTTCAATTATGAAAGAGAATTGAATTTTCAATTACAAAACAAAATTGACTTTTTAATTAAAAGTTTGAAATTTCAATTACAATAGAAAATTGAATTTAAAAAAAACTGATATTTCAATTAAAAAACAAAATTGAATATTCAAATAAAAAAATTGAACTTTCAATTACAAAACCAAATTGAATTTCCAAATAAAAAAAGAACATTTCAATTAAAAAACAAAATTGAATTTTCAAATAAAAATGAATGACTTTTTAATTACAAAAACAATTGAAATTTCAATTCCATAAAAATTGAATCTTCAAAGACAGAAATTAAATTTTGAATTTCAACAAAATATGAATTTTTAAATCAAATAAATTGTATTTTCAACTACAAAACAAAATCCAAATTT